CCCTACCTTTATTCTTGGCAAGACTAGCCATGGAGTTCTGGTCGATACCTAGTACAATTAAAGTTCCCTCAGGTACTTCTTTACCGTGAAAGACATCGCATTTTTCCACGACCAGTTCAGAATTTTGGAAGAATTTCCAATATACCCTCATTAGCCAAATTACTGCCCCATACTTTTACGTAGACAGTGGATTTTAAGAGCACCGTAAGATCCTTCTTATTTATCAGTCCCAGCTTAGCGCCATCATTTTTCACCAAGTTCTTAATGGTTCCAACTCATTAGTGAGATGCCAACCATCACGTTCATGCTGAACTTGCAGCACTCGCTAGCTATTGGTTCCTTACCCCTTGAAGCGATTGCGTGGCACACTATCTTATTGATGACTAGATCTTCTACCTTACTGTGCTGGAATTTTGCTTGTTGGATTACCGGCATCGTATACTGCAAAGCAGATATCGTCCCGGTGTCTTCTTTTGGCAACTTTGGCGTAAGATGGCGGCTCTTTTTGATTTCGACCGCCTAGGTTTTTTCTTCCTCGTTTTTCTGGTCTTCTTTTGAGATGCCCTTAACTCGGGGTTGACTTCGTGGACATGTTCGGAATATCTGGCTTGGCGTTGTCGCCCTTACTCGATGGATTCTGACTTGAGGTAATATTTTTTTATTTGAATTAAAATTATTATAAACTATGTCCGATTTTGTGTTTGAGTCACTGTATGTATGCATAACACATAATATTTAACGTTTTAAATGCATCGAAATAAACAGAAAAATTATTATATTTTAATACTAAAATATTCTTCAAAAATTGCAATTAATATTTAATAGCTAAGCATTTCTTCCCATCGAATAGTAAAATTTTATTACCATTTAAATAGTAAATTTTTTTTCTGAAATAAATATTGGTAGTCGCATATTTCATGTCAAATGAACATTAAATACTCAATATCAATATTTTTATAGCAGCAGGAGGTATTCACAACTGAAACACCAACTGCGTATAAGTACATATTTATATGCGATTTCCATACGTAGTAAAACAATAATCGTCCCATTATCATACGTCTGAGTATTAGTTGATGGAGTCATTTTTTAACACTATCTGGTAATCTCCATTTCGTTCTTTCGTACAACGAGTTAAGAAACGCCATAAAGACGTTCTGTTTATTCAGAACGTTTTATTTTCATAATTTTTATTGCATTCTTAAGAATGAAAATGTTGGTTGGTTGGTAAAGGATGATCGAAAATTTGAGTACCACACTGAGATGGAACTATTTTTAAAATGAGGGATTTGCACAGATTGTTTTCAAAACCATCTATCGGTTTAGATTTTAACGTCTCGTTAAAATTATTCATTGAAGATTGTGCTAGTTTATAATCAGTTTTTATCGCCAATTTACGTCTGTTCAACGCTAATTCAGTTGACCGTATAATCTCTGTATTCCCGTTCCCATATTAGTAAATGTCACCCTTTCCAGTTTTTAGACAACTGCCACCTTGATCTTGGTATATCTTCCTTGATCTTTATAATCGGTAATGCTCTTCGCATAACCAGCATTTCGGGCTGAAAAGTATAATCTGCCATGACTGAGCATATGACACTCTATAATGGGCTAATTCCAATAGTGTCCGTCCTTAGGCCGAAGAGCATGTATGGTCAAAAATATTCTGATGAAATTTGAAGTTACATTCTCGAACGGGCTGACATCAATAGAATTGATGTTGATGAATCCATATCACAGTCTAACTGGGATGCGGTGAAACCAAAATTAATGTGAGCCACTCCTCTCTAATACAATGACGCTATCTGTTTCCGGATTCTCTAACTTAGAGATATCGAAGCTTGAGGTGGCGACACCTGAGGTCTAGGTTAATTTCCAAAATACCTTTTAAGCCCTCAACACCCGGAGTCTACTTCGTCTGAGTCTACCGTAGCGACTGCAAAGGTGATTACTCCAGGAAAAAGTTGATGTAGTAACCGTGCAGTCTGAAGGAGGTACCGCCAATCCTTCTGATAAAGAAGATAGTCGATAAGTCGATGATGATGAGTACCCTCTTTACTCAGAAGAATCAGGTGGTTGACGAGGTGAAGCTTCTAGGACTATCTCAAGAGGTTATCTCTCAATCAATTTACATCACTGAAAGGCAGCAGCAGCTGCATTGCTACTCCGAGTAGTTCATAGAAGGGAAGAGCTAATCATGATCCAAGAACCATGGATCTATCAGGATTGGATTTACGGGCTACAACTCAAAGGGAACAATCTTCTGTATATTAAAAATTCTTTACCAGAATTTGGAGTTATAGTCAAGAACTTCTTGATTTCATTTTATCTGATTTCAGTGATGAAAATACAGTGGAATATGCACTTGAACAACCATTCAAGCTACATGGCCCATGACCACGGATATATCCCGGATATGTAGTGCTTATTACAAATTAAACTGTATCTAATAATTATTCAATATCGGGCCACTAGTATTCTCAATATAAGGAAGACACCTACTATTGACAGTATAGAGGACATTGATGCGGCCGTAAATGACTTAACGGAGACATTTCGCTTGATTATTATTATTGCCTAGGAAAGAGTGGAACTGGATTCCAGAATCAGAGTACCAAAAAGAGTGTCAACAATATCACACGTCGAAGGAGTCCTTGGTCACAATAATTATTCGGGTAACCGTATAGCACAGGAATGGAGCGATGTGGTCTCTTTCTTACAAACTGTAAGGAGAGCGCCACTTTGATGCTCTCTTCCTATCAGATATGGAGGAGCTATCTGGTATAAATCCTAAGCCTATTCTCAATTTTATGATTAAGACAGACTCATGTGACCATTACGGTATCACAATAGATTCAGATGATGGATCCAAGTTAGCTGCTAGAGGAGTTTCTGCTCTAGGAACCTTTCCTAACCATATGCTTAATTCCATAAGTATCGCACTATAATTGAGAGCATTAACAGACTGTATGAAATGTATACCTAATTTTAGACACATTATATTTTTCTTAAAATCTCAAATTATCAAAAGTTTTAATTGAAGATATACAAATTAATCCCCAATATTTTCTAACAATTTTCCACTAATAAATAACCGAAGTTTGATCTGGTAACGTTAACAAATAGAAATAACAACAAAATCAATTAATAAATTGAGAGTAAAAGTGATTGATGACAAAAGAGAGAACAAACAAGCTAAAAACACTGAACTATGATGGTGTGTAGTGCGCACGCGCAAATGGTCAATAATTATTTTAAGTGGTCGATCTGTTGTTGTTTTTCTTGCATTTCGTTGTTGCTGCTGTTGTTGTGCTGAAGTGTTTGCACTGATATTGAGCTCTAAAGAGTGCTCAATTTCTGTGGTAAGCGAGCTTAAGTATGACAAGTCGATGGGAGCAATTGCAATATGTTTGTTGTCATTCATTAGCAGGTGGGGGGAGAGGCTATGGAAAGAGGGAAAGCATATAAGCCAAGTTTACTTGCCAATCTTGTTGTTATTGTTTTGTTTGTGTTTTATATACAGGTTTTGTTTTAACTATATTTTTTTGCTTATTCGAGTGAGTTGTTATTGTTTTGATTTTGCTTCTTAGAGCTGTAGCTGTTTGCTCTATGTTCTGCAAAATACTTTTTTTGTGGGCTTGTGTGGCTGGATAGTAAGTAAGTAAGCTTAGCTTATGGCTGGCTAACAGACTGACTGCTTGGTAAACTCAGGTTTTTTGTTAGTAGCAACAATAACAACAACAACAAGAAAAGACAGAAGAAATACATTATTAAGCAGAGACAAGACTTGTAACACAGACAACAGAGTTCACTATCAGTTGCGGTTTAAATTGGTAATTCAGTTAAGTGGAAACACTGAAGCGATTCGCACGCAAAAAAATTATCTCCATCAGTTTGGCTCAGTTTGACAAAATACACAAACAAAAGAAATAGAACAGACTAAAATAATTATTTAAATATATAGAACAAGTGAATACATTTATAAATACAAACGAAATGTGAAAAAAATTTAAATAATTTTTATACTTTAAACAACTCTTTTCTTTAATTTTTTTTTAAATAAAATGTTCTATAACTAAATCTTAACTTAAAATAAGTTAAATTTTTCTTTTGTAACAACACAGCTGAAAACATATTTAAGGACCGTGGAAATTTTTATTAACGTTCTGGTTTAAAAATAAATAAAAAAGAATAACGACTAAAAATAAAAAACTAAAAAAACGTCTAAACTAATGCAATCAATTGCAATTAAGACATAAAGAAATAAAATTACGGTTTCGTGTTTTAGTCAGTTAAATAAAGGTTTTCAGAGTGTGTCTGTCTTTCCACCCGTCTGTCTGTCTATTTGTCTCCCTTTTTGTCCGTCGAACAATCTGAGTGTGAGTGATTTTTTGTGTTTCTAATTCTAAAAGAAAAACAAATTCAATATTTTTCTTATTGAAATTTCAAAAATAAAAAATACGAAAAGAAAAAAAATCAAATGTTTGTGTGTATTAAATCCATGTATATTGTATGTATGTTAGAAGTACATCACCTTGGTTTAATATTAACTTAAGTTGCCTCAAATAAAAAATATTTTCCCCTTCTAAATCGTTGGTTAATTGAAACAGCAACAACAATAACAACATCAATAAGAAGAAAAACGTAAATATGTATAAAAACGCCTTTATTTGGCCAAGAAATTGTCTTACACAGTGAAAAATGAATTTTGAAAATGTGCAATATTTATTTAGCACAACAAACAATAATAACAACAATTAAATAATAACAAATAAATAAATGAAATTTATAAAATTAATAATAATAATATTAAAAATACAATTTGCCATATTATTCAATACAGAAACAACAACAACTCTTGTTCAAAATTGTTAACAATTATTTGTGTTTTTTGTACATTAAATTTTTTGTTTTATTTCTTTAAATTTAATTTATGCGAAACGGTTGCATTCGTGTATTTTTTACAAAAACAACAACAAAAATAAAAACTACAACTAAAACAATAACAAAAAAATCTTAATCAATTTCTGTTTAAGCTTTTTTTTTATTAAACGTGGCTTAAAATAATAACGGTTTCTCTTAAAATATAAAAACAAAGAGTAAAGCAAAATCTTTTGTAACCAGTTAACAACAACAATAAAAACAATTGGGATTAAATATACAACAACAGCAAGAAAAAGGAAGAAAATCGTAAGCTTCAATTAAAGCCACCAACAAACGAATGTGGGTGAATTAATTATTTATTATTTTGCGCTTTTTGATTGGGGTAAGTCAAATTTTAATAATATGAAATCAAATATTTAAATCAATTCTTATATTTCGTATTCACTTTCAATTATTAACTTCGCAAGAGTTCTATTATAATTAGAATTATTTATAATTGCTTCTACTTCTCGCCTTTCGATTTCATTTTCGTATTGTTCTCTTTAGTAATAATAATGCAGTCTGAACATGTACTCTGTGTTATTTGAAGGAAACTTGTTGAATGTTTAATATAATATTGTTCATTTGTGACAAAAGTGTGGTAATTGGAAAAAACAGTTTTTTTTATTAGTTAAATAAGTTAAATTGTTTTACGTAATTTTGTTTTAATTTAAATACTTAACTTTAAATATAAATTGCGTGATATGAAAAGTTTATAACAAGAATGTGTTTTGATAGGGATTTGAAAAGAGACGAAATCTAGAATCAAACGTTCACTTTTCTAAAGGGTTTTTATGTTTTCGAGGTATCGTTTGCAATGTTTGACCATATTTGAGACGTTTCCAACAAAAATCTGGAAATGACTTGTACTTACTCAACAACATACTTTTTAATGACAACTAAATATATTTACTAGTAGTAGTAGACGGTATACCGTCTTTTTAACTCATTACTTTTCAATGTAAGTTTTTCCTGGGTTGTACCATCTCATATCATCTGTTATGTCATCTGAAAGTACAATCTGTCTAATTTAAAATAAAGGTTCAACATTTGTTATATCTTTTTTTCATGGAAAATGTTTGTTGGTACAAACAAACATCTTATATAGTATTCATTGAATGTATTACTCGTCCGATGTTCAGAAACTCAGTTTCCTGGACGTAATTCCTAAGAATTTTCCAATCAGGGTTCGTTATATATGGATTAATAGCACTCCCAACATATTTGGATCTAATTTCGTTTGTTTGTTGGTAAAAACAAAAACCTTATATAGTATTCACTGAATGTATTATTTGTCCGATGTTCAGAAACTCAGTTTCTTGGACGTAATTCCTAAAAATTTTCCAATCAGTGTTCGTCAGGCATGTTATATCCGAATTAATATCACTCCCAAGATATAGGGGTCTAATTTCGGCGAAAGCCGAATGGCAAATAAAGTGCTTCAGAGTTTCACTGTGCTCTCGACATGATCTACATTCCTCTGAATCTGCACGTTCAATTTTATATAGCTTTGTCCGTAATTATGTGTGTCCACACATAATACAATCATACTAACCTCAGATTTGCTCATTTTGAGGGGGCTTCTCGTCCTGCTCTGTTTAGGGTCAACCCATAGGATTTTTGTGGATCTACCCATCGTTTCATTATTCCAAGAGGCCTTATGGGTTTCTCTCACCCATATTTTTAATTATGACCTCGTTGTGTTCGCCAGGTTAACAGATTTGAGCTCCCTTCCCTTTAAAGCTATTACATTCGCTCTTTCGTTGCCGACCACTCCCGAGTGGCCTGGTACCCATATGATGTAAACCTTACCTTTGGAAGAGTATTCGGTTAGAGATTTTTTACAATCCAATGCGGTCTTAGATTTAACTTTATAAACTGTGGTATATTTCCGACATATTCTGTGCGATCGGACACTTCCGATGATTGTGTATAGCGTTACAATGTGTCCAGTATACATTGATGATGTGTCGTATAATCGCTTTTGTCCAGTTCACCTAAAGTTATGAGATATCGTCATATGAAATCCAAAAAGCCCTAAGTTACAAAAAAATCAAAATCGACTTTTTGATTGATTATGATGCACCGTATCAAAATACATGTTCCTGCTAAATTTTACACTCCTACAATTAAAATCAACGTCCCTATCAATTAAAATTCATGAAAATTTTTAAATTCTTTTGAATTTTGAACAAAATGGCACTTTTAGCGAATCCTTGTAATTTGAGATTATTTTATCAGTTTTAGAATTTTTTCAAAGAAAAATTACAAATTTCCTAAAATCTTTATGAAAAGAAGAAGAATGCCTTCCATGTTTCGGCCTATTTGACCAACAAAAACCGATTTAAATTTAGTTGAAAATGTAAATGTAATGTAACTTAGGCCTTTTTGGGTTTCAGAAAAAACAAATTGTCAAGAACGTAAGTTTTATATCTCCGTAAGTAAAACAAAAATCACAAATTTTTCTTCAAATAATAATTTGTCAATAAGAAAAAAGCTTAACTTGAGAAAATGTTGAGCATTTTTGGTTTATTTATCACTTTAGACGGTTTTTTGCTTCTCCTGAAAAATTTGTTCAATGTGACTTAGGGCTTTTTGGATTTCATATGACGATATGTATGTTTCAATGGGTGGAATATCTAGCAACGTTTCCAGAGCCTTTTTTGAGGTAGTACTCATAACACCACTTTGGCTTCTTGTGTTTACGCCGGTTACAAGCAAAAATACTTTATTTTCCCGAAAACGAAATATTAGTGTAACCCAATTAATGTAACACTTGATTGTACCTTCTAACAGTTGAAGTCATTTTGTATATCGGTTAATTATTTAAAATTTATAATCGATCCAGTACTGGCATAGAGCTGCTATGTCTCTTCTGGTATTATTAGTCTGTGTCTGTTTTGGCCTATTATCCACAATAGTTGTAGTATATTATTACAATAGTTGTAGTATATTTTATCCATTCCAATATTGTAGACCTTTATACGTTTCCGCTTGTTTAGGTTAAACACATCCAGGATTTGAAATGTTACTAAACTGACGGACTGACAAAACCGGAGGCTGTAGGTAGAGGATGTGAAGTATTAATTCGCATAGTTAAGATGCTTAGTTCTTGCACCGTATTTTAGAGATTATATATATTTTGAAATTTCAGAGTCGATGGTTTACAGGCTCACAAAAATGCCTATAGAAGCTTATTTTAGATTATGTTTACCACACTGTTTTTCTACCTCTCGCTAAATGTATACAATCGCGCAAACTCGCATGTAGATAAATAATCACATTTTATTTTATTTGTTAAGAATACATGAAAATTCTTAAAGTTCATCAAAATAATCGAACTGTAGAGTGTGTGCTGTTGATTTTTAAAAAGAACACAGTCTCACAGGTTAAAACTCGATTTACTGTTATTGAAATTTATAAAAACATATTAACAGTTCATTGGTTTTCATACTTATGTATATTGAATTATTCAAAACAAAGTTATAAACTATTTTTTTTTTAGAAAACTACATACCAACACGAATCTACTAACTAACTACTTAATCTAATTTCCTAATAATTAAATTATTTAATTTTATTAGTATTAAATTTTAATGTATATGTGCATGATACAATATTAATCCATAAACCTAAATCAAAAAAATATATAACAGTTATAATACCTCAAGGTCATGGATGAAAGTAAACTTGTACAATATTTTATTTATTCAGTTATATATTTATTAAGCCATTAAATTACATTTTTTTGTTAACAAGCAATCGATCTACTGACCAGGGCAGAACGACTAGACCAACCTCACTGCAGACAGACTTGTTCGTATTCCAAATAATAAACTCTTTGCATACAAAGTGGAATACATATAAATGTATAAATAAGACAACAATAATCATAATACTTGTAATAAAATGAAAAAGGGTAAAAAATACCGTAAATTATTTTAACGCCCAAAATCATTAACAAGCAACAGCAACAACAAACTATTGACGGACGTTTTTCGATTTTATTCATCAAAAATTCAACGTTGGATCATTGGTTCGATCATACATAGTACAATCTTCCAATAATCGTGCGTTCGTTCGATCGATCGATTGTCTGAGATTGATAAATTGTATGTTGTCTTGTGAATTAAAAATTCCTTCCGAGTTAAGATTGTGTGGTGTTTCGTTTCGGTTTATTTTGTTTGTATGGAATATACATATAAAAAAATAAATTAATAAAAAGTTTGAGAAATGATTGACAAGCATTTACAAAAAACCTCAAATTAAAGTTAATAATACACATTTTGTTTTGTCTTTGCGTGGAAAAGAGTTTTTTTATTTGTTTTAAGCTAAAAATTAAATTACAGTGGTAACTTTTGTATTTGAATATGTATGTTGTTTGGATAATGAAAGTTAAAAAATTTATAGATAATTTTATTAAAAATTTAGGGCGGAATTTATAATTATACATTTTTAGCCTAAAAAAAAATATAACAAAAAGGGGCGCAATAGTATATAATTATCGGAATAACAAATCACGATCACCTTTTGAATCAATACATGAAAGGTTCAGGGTGTTATTAAAAATTTGAATCATATAACATACCTCCTATTTTCAAACTAAGTAACTTGCTATTGTTTTCCTAGTATTTAGATGTTTTCCTAAGGGGCATTACTTTTCTAAAAATTTAGAAATAATTTAGTTTAACAGCAAAAATAGTATTAGTTCCACAACTAGAACGCATGATTGTGGCTTGTACTCGTTCTACATTGGTGATTTTTGTTCAAAATTGGAACTGGTTCTGAGGAAGCGTAATGGAGTCGGCACTCATTCTTTGGAACGTTTCTTTAACTAGTTCTTTAATCCATGATTTTTGTTCGAAATTGTTAACCTCGGAACCAGCTTTAGTGAACGTATACGCTTAATTTAAAAACAGTTATTTTTTCAGCGGATTAGCATAAATTTTAAGAAACTGTTGAGGAATTATTATATATATTGTACCAATTTTAATCAGAAAATTTTTGCGTTTTGAGCAAATCTAGTGGATTTGGATAAAACTAGTTGAAATCATGTAGATTTGCCATACAAATCCAAATCTACTTAATCTACTAGATTTGATTTAAAACATGTCGAAAATGTATTTTTTCGAACAAGATTATCCTAGACACAATGCAGTGTTGTATAGCATTGTGTCTAGGATAAGCAAATATAACTATAGGCTATCCATTCAAGTTGAATGTTTTCATCAATAAAGTGACTTTTCATTTCGAAATAAAAACAAAACAAATTATAATTTTAAAATTAGTGACATTTAATAAACAAATTTATACTTTTACAGTTGTAATTTTGTATTTTTAATG